TCCAAAGGCACACACACACCCACACACACACACACACGCTGTGTTTTCATCCTTTGTGGGGGCCTTACATTCATTTCCTGTACACTTATCTTAACCTTAACCACTACTTGCCTAAAACCTTCCCTAATACCTAACCCTAAACTTCAGTGATTTCCTTGTGGGGACTGGCTTCTGGTCCCCACAAGGATGAGTCCCCACAGTGCGAGTGTGTTAACAGGTTTCGGTCCTCATGATGTAAGTAATACAAAGGCGCGCGCGCACACACACACACACACACACACACACACACACACACACACACAGCTATTGTTCCACTGAAATGAACGTCAACCAACAACAATGGCATCAAATATCAATTCACAGGTGTACAAATCATTAAAATCACTGCGATGCATTGTTTTCTGACAAAGACAAAGTTAACCCATCCACAGTTTACTTCCAGATAATACTTTAAATAACACAAACAAACCGACAGAGCACATTTACCAAGACAGATATGCTCCACAAACACACTCAGAAACATCTCTCGATCTACACAGACTACAACACAGCAGCTAGTGAGGCAACAAGTGTTGACACAAAAATACAGAAAAGACACTGATACAGCCTGATGACAGATGAGGAGAGAGAGAGACATGGTGAGAGAGAGAGCGACTGCTTTGTTAGCAGGACAGGGAATAGAGTGGTAATTACCTCACTGTGGGTTTGTTGATTATAGTCCAGCCAGGTTCTCTATGTTAATCATTTACCAAGGGAAGACTGAGATTAGTACCAAGACAGACACAGAGAGGAGAGATAACCAGCAGCGCAAGAAATATATTAATTTGCATGCACACGCACAACAGAGGAGGAAGAGACACAGACAGACCAGTGGGTGAAGAAATAATAGAAAATAAATTATTTAATCTCTCTCCCATGATAAGACACGTACAAACACTGTCTGATTTCGCTTTACTGTAGCCTGCATGTGTACTGTACCTGCTTGCACAAGCCTACAGATCAGATGTGTGTGTGTGTGTGTGTGTGTGTGTGTGTGTGTGTGTGCTTGTACGTATGCAGAATGTGATTTACTTTGGTATTTAAAGTGGATCATTCATGAGTGCACGCAGGGGGAAATGATGCATAAACAGAGTAGAGATTACACGAAAGAGTTATGAGGGCTGCTTTCAATAAAGATACAGAAAACCAATACAAATATTCATCTCCTCATGCACCGTTTAAACATGCTTCACTGGCTTGGAGCTCGACCTCAGTCTCTGTCAGAGGAGGAGAGAGAGAGAAAGAGAAAGATTCAGAGACCAGTTCTGGACTGGTTTGGTGTTGAATGCTTTAAGCGTCCAAACTAGTAGTGAGTGTGTGCAAGAGAGGGTACAGGTAAAAAAAAAATATAGTCATAATATTAATGGTGATATAATAATCATCTTATTGTGCATGTAAGTGGTAAAATACTCTCATCTTCATTTAAAGCCCCACCATTCTGCTACTCCACATGAAGAAAGACAGACACTGTGAGAACAGAAAGCAAGTAATTGGCAACCGGAGTCCGACGTTTGAGCTGGAATCCAGAGGCACTGTTGCAACAAGTCTGCCTCGTGCCATGGTGGATGAAAGGCAAAAGAAAAGGTATAGGTGTGAGCCAAGAACAAGGGCAGGTCAGAGAGTAAGAGAACAGAAAACTGATTTAAGGTTCAGGTATGGGTGGCATTTATTCTTGTTAGAGATGTAGAAGTAGCCTATGTAAAATAATAAAAACAGTTTCCAAGCCATCTCTTGCACAAAAATGCCAATTCAATCCTTAAAGTTTTGGTGCACTGACTAAACTCCCTGACAGATCTTGAGTGAATTTATGAGGATGAATGTAGCACTGGCAGCAGACAATGTTGTATCAGCAAGTAGGATGATCAAACTATTTGGTCCAACAGGTTTTAAAGCACCCAAGAGGGTGCTGAATATACCTATAAAATAGGGTGAGGTATACAGGTAGCACTGGGAACACACACACAAAAACATACTCGGGCTTAGAGCACTGTGGTTATAATATTATACTAACCTTTTACTACTCCAGGAAGTAAAAAATAATTTCTTTTCTAATAAAGAACTATTGCTCTGAGAGAGAGACACCATTGTAAAATCAAAAGTGATCGTAAACTCGGTTCATAAAATCATAAAAGAGGGCAATGGAATCACTTGAGCCCCACAGTGAAAGAGGCCAGGGTATCTGATTCCTCGATGTTCAACACTGACCCTGGAGTCAGCCTGTCTCTTCTGTATCAGAGCTCCATTTTTCAATCTGGACTGTGCTAAATGTGCACCAGTTAAAACGTTTCACTGAGCCTTTGTTGCTGCCATATTAGCCAGCACAGATCAGCACAGCGAGGACCTTCAGTCTCCACTTCACTGCCCCCGCTTCATTAAAACCACAGATCTAGACGTCGAAGGAAAAGTGACAGTCGCAGAATGTCTTTCATATTAAAAAGAACCCGTTTGCTCACTAGAGCTACAGTTATGTTAAATGTGAGCTGAGGCCTCAATGTAATACCTGTAACAGTAGCCACAGCTTCTCCTTAGCTGTTTGCCCATGTCTGAGAGAGTGGGAGTGATGAAGGCATGTCTGCACAGTTATTTGGCTTTTAGGTGTAAATGCAACTTACAGGTTCAATCGCTTTATTTTCTATCTTGCCAACATTTACAAAAGAAGACTGAAGCACTGGAAAAATGCACAATTCACAGCCACAATGTTCTGTGTTTATATTCCAATAAATTGAATAAGTAACAGATTTTTAGCACCATAACAGTGAATTGATAGCTTATAAAGATGCGGTATTAGCAAACAGCACACTGACAGAACCACCATACCATCAGCAACATTAGCATGCATTCCAATATTTCTCCTGTTTTGTTTTCTGTCAGCCTCAGCGGAGATCAGCTGCCTTGTTCCTGTCTTATGATGTTGACCAGGTAGCTTACAGTGGCTCTCTCAGAGCAGCTTCACTGTAAAATACTAATTTAAGCAGTAAAAATTAATCAAAACAGCAAAGTTGCTGGGGCTGCAAACAAAACAAGAAGGTGAAAGCTGTTAATACACCCTGAGAATTGGATGAGAAATCTCTGTGGGTTTGTGAATAACTCTATTCACACTATAGGTAGTCAAATGAACCATTGTTAATATAAAAATATTGATTTGAGCAGCTTTAAGAAATGAGCCTGGGATGGTTTGGTATATTCGATAGTAAAGAATAACAGCTTACATTTAAACTTTTACAACATTGTGGACAAATAAAAAGACAAATGGGGTTATTTTGTGATCTAGGGTGTACAGCCCTGGACTCTGCAATGCAGCTTTATGCCAGAATAGGCAGAGCTCTCCTGTCCCTGTGCTTGTTTTCCCTCACTAGACAACATTTACAGGCCTCAGGACAGTCTAACTGGCTGGCTGGCAACTAATAGAAAATATGGTATGGGAAAATGAGTGAAGCTCAACTAATCACAACGCCAATATCCATCACTGGGCAGGAGGGAGTCATGAGATATAAAGGAGGAGCAGGGAGGGCAGACGAAAAATGAAAAGGAGAGCAGGATGCAACAAGGAAAGTAATGAAGAGTGAGGAGAGGAGGAACGAACGTGAATCCTAGCAGTAAACCCGTGGGATTCTGGTCTGGATGCAGCATCACAGCTCCACTGATAGCTTTGTGATTGGGTGGTGTTGCTGATGAGAGTGATTCTCTGCCACAGTGGGTTACCCTCCACCGTAATGCTGATGGCATTGTGATTGTGTGCTGTTGCAGCCGACTGTGTGGCCCTACCACAGGCTGTGACCATTCATCCCTGAATCTCTGGGGAACAAGAAGGTGCTTCCTAATCCTCACAGCGTTCCTCCCCAACAAATTTCTGTAGGATCCCAATTATAGGACAAGGTTTTACCCGCCTGGACACACTGGATATGACCTAAGCTGACTCCAGTACAGGATGAATCCCACAGACCTGACGAAGAAGCCCATGGGGAAATTCTAAATCCCAGGCGTCAGATTTCTGTCACATTTTGTGCATCCACAAATGTAAAACACAAGACAAATCTGTTCCTGGCCAAGTAGTCTCTGCGGCCAATGGCTATTAAGTAAAAATGTCATTTATCTGAAAGAGAGTTTGGGGGACTGGGCCTTACAGAAAGTCTCTAAATAAGCAGGTGGGAGAATGTCAGAAGTGTTATTTCGGGCAGTAGCCCTACTGGTGCTCCAGGTCTCCCATCTCAACCCCTCAATTAGCCAAAGTGGGACACCTGGATCAGCAGGTGAGCTTCACTCTGCCCTGCTAATGGCCCCCAATCAACACATTACACACACTAACAAACACACACCTTCCTATTACCTAACTACATGCACAACAGCACTTTAGACTTTAATATATACCTGTGTCCTCAGAATGCTATCTAAGGCACTATTCCGAACAAACACTTAAGAAGAAACCCTTACTTCTGGTTTTCTGTAAGTACCATAATCACTAATTCCAGAAGGTAACAGACAGGCTTTACAGTACAGTCATTATGATAAAGATTATTAGCTGCAGGAAGAAGATGAGATCAGGCCACCCTGTGCCAAATGAGCCCAGGGCTCTACTGTATCCCCAGAGTTCAGGCTTTCTTATTTAACTAAAGTACAGGTCGGACAGATTTGAGGCTAAAACAGGTTTTGTGTAATCATACCTGCTCTGCGCACGAGGACGTGATCTGCCGCATAGCAGAGATTCTTTAAAACCCACTAAAGTCTGACTCATTTAGAAGGAATTATTGTGATCGTTGTGCAACAACAGTGCGAAATTGCAAGTTCAGACTAGCTACATTTGTCCAGTGCAAACTAGGAGGCAATTAATCAAATGTCGGTCCCTTAACAGTGGCATATGTAATGGCTTAATTTGGCCCGCAGTGACAAGGAGCGCAGACATACGACAGTCCTCTGAATTTACTCAGGAGAGGAGCATCATTAAGCACACACTGTTTTCTCACCGTGTGTTTGTAGAATTCCAATACACGACGTGTCTTTTAGCCACAGCAGCTGAGAGTATGTTGAAGAGGAAAACCGTGGCTTTCCAAGCAGGCAGAGCTCCAGGTGTCCACAGCTGGGAGCCCATCGTGACCGCCGCGGAGAGTCTGCCCCGGCTGGGTGTGGTGCGCAAAGTCAGGTGAGTCCAGTGACCAACTTTCTCCAGCACTTCACCAACTCATAAACAACTAAAACTTCTAAGTCATATACTGTTTCAGTTCGACGTGGTGTATATAAGGCTAAACTAAACGAAGTCGCTCCAAAAAGGTCTGCGGAATTAAATGTGTGCGCTTCCACAGAAAAACGTTCTTGAGAGTTTGTCACTGTTCCGCATGGCTTTAGAATGATCTCTCTTTACTGAAAACCAGCTGACTGGAAAAAGAGACTAAACCTGAGCCTCGAGGCCAGGTCTTTGGACCCGGTAGGGTAGTAAATCAGATTATGAATTCAAAGTGCCAGCTGCTTTGGCAGCAACAGGCTGCAAAGTGCTGGAAGGGCGGATCCGCTGGGATGAGGGCGGTGCCGTGGAAACTTCGGACCAATCAGTCGGTAAGGGTGTGGTGATGTGTGATATTCTAGTGTAAAGTTAAATCCTCGTGAGGTGCGCCGACTGGCGTGGGGAGACAGTGTTTCAGGAGAATCTGGGACCCTCTGTCCTCCCCGTCCCCTGGAACGACTGGAGCTGAGTGGTTTAAATTTAAACTCATATCATGCAACAGACTCCAACATACAATTTGTAGAGTCCTGTCAGACCTTGAGCAGCTCCCCTGCAGCAGCTGTGTGTTAGGTGCCTTTGATCAGTGAGTTCACACAGTTCAACAGTCTTCCTACCTCATTCCCTCCAGCCATACATCTTATAGTTACTGTAGGCTATGGCTCCAAGTAGGGCAACACTGCATGGCACAGCAGTGCTCTCAGGTACCCAGCACCCTAGAGACAGTGGCACAGTGGAGATCAGCACCACCCTCCTTGACTGTCTTCTGCAAGATCCACATTTAGTTCAGCTACACTTGGTTTTTTGTGGGGAGTGTGTGTGTGTTTGTAATGTGTTAATTCTCTGGCTGTTGTCAAGCACCTCAGGGGAGGGTGTAGTGACAGTAATCACTACGCCTCCATGGGCAAAAACCACTGGTGGTCCTCTCTAATTATCTGATATCTAAGTGTGTGTGTGTGTGTGTGTGTGTGTGTGTGTGTGAGAGAGAGAATGCTATTCTTGCAATCACTCGTCCAGGCAAAGTTAAATTGATAACTTTCTGTTATTATCTGCTGCAACTGCACATTTGGCATTTTCCTTTCTGAAGGCCACCCCACCCCCCACCCCACTTCTCTTGCCTTTCCCTCTTTTATCTTTTGTATGCATGTCTGTGTGTAGCTCGTGGTGTACATGTGTGTGTGGCGCTAGAACTCATTAGCTCACTTCCTGGAGGTCCTGATCATTAATTTCCCATGATGCCTCAGTACTCCTGTGTGGCTAATTTGTCCCTGGTGAGCTGGCGCTCCCTCAGCAAACGCGGTGCAGACCACAGAGAGGTAACTCACTCTGCAGGGGTCTCTCTCTCTCTCTCTCTCTTGCTCTTTTGCTGTGATTGATCTATTACCACAGCCAGTTCCTAACAAAATTTGGAGCATCAGAGGTTAATGTTGCTTGGTGAAAATTTATTTCATTCTTCCTCTCTTCTTCTGAAAACCCTTCCTAACTTTCAGTTTCGAATTGTCTTCAGAACAGTTTAAGTATCCATTACTGGGTACCTGCAGCTTTTTCTGTTGCACACCATCAGTTGACCAGTTTCCTCTCTTGACGCAGCTTAAAGTGGAGAAAAAAGTGGTCTCATTTACCTCATGGGACACCAGTTGAAAGTTACGGTTATGATTTACTAAATTAAGAGCCATGTTGACTGCAGAGCTGATAGATTTAGCATGTATTAACTGAACAGGCAGTAAAAGAAATCTCAGCACCAGCGTTATACCTCCTCTTTCTGTCTCTCAAACATCCTCGAAACCATTCAAGTCAAGTTTTATTTGTAAGCGAGCTGTCACTTTTTCCAAAAATCATGTTCGAACGATGCTCAAATTGACATTCATTCAAATTACTTTGAATCCCTCCTGCCCCACCCCTAACAAGGATAGACTTGGGCTTAATATTTAATAAAACAAGCAAACAACATTAGTCAGTACCTTTTGTTGCTTTGGTGCATTTGTTTTCTGCATTAGGAGAGCTTAGCTAAGATATGACATGCTGTAGGGGTAGGACGGTCAGGCCAGGCTGTACAATGGATGCTTGTATGTGGTAATATTAACTTCGGTGCCTCACTTGGAGAGCAAGATTGCAGGTGAGTCCTCAGATTCATTATTGCATTTGAGTTAGGCATCTGCTTTTTTGCAGAGTCAGCAAGCCGTTTTACCTTGACACCATTCCAGTGTCATTATTGTCCTATCAGCACAACTTTGGTTGCTACTCTCCCACATTTTGTCCTTGCAAACATAATGTTACTAACGTACTTTACTGAGAGGTCAACAGGATATGTTGCTACTCTCCCACATTTTGTCCTTGCAAACATAATGTGACTAATGTACTTTACTGAGAGGTCAACAGGATATGTAGCTAGTCAAGCTGATAGTGAATTTTAAGAACATCCTCTGCTGGAACACAAGGCAAATGACATCAAATGGTCTGTTTGCCCTTATTGACATAGCATGCATTGTTGGATTTGAACACGTCATTACAGTTTGAAATTTTATTTATTTGTTTACCACGTTCAAAGAAATGTTAAAAATTCAAATGAAACGTGACGTTATCTGTGTAGCTCAATATCACAAATCACAAATTTGCCTCAAGTGGCTTTTCAATCTGTACAGCATATGACACCCTCTGTCTTTAGCATGGGCAGAGCCACGGGGTGGCCAGGGGTGGCACTAGTCCCCCACAGGATCTGATTGGCCACCCCTGGTACCGCCCCTGCCAGAATCAAAATGTGGTGCTTGTCAGTATTGATGAGTGAAAAACAATGACAACTAACATTTTTCTAGTGCTTTGTAATTCAGACTGGTCAAATTTGTTTTATTTTATGCCATGCATGCCACATGATATTTGCATTTATTTCTCCAACTGTGTTATTGTGCAGTACTTGGCGTGATTTGCCTCACTGGGGAGGCAACCACTGTGCACGGCGATGTCCCTGACTGCACACGAATAAGGAGTGCAGCCAAAGTTAGCTGAAGAGTGCACTAAGTGTCCCATTTTTATACAGAATAAACAATGTGTTTCTATGCTTTATTTCATAAGACTAGAGGTTTAATTAGCTTTTTATATGTATTTCAAATGTACCACCCCTATCTGAGTTTGTGCCCCAGCCTGGCCACCCCATCCAAAACTTTTTAGATCTGCTCTGGTCCTTAGGCTCTCAGACTGAATAAGAAAAAAACTCCCCCTAAAAAACCATTTAATGAGAAAAAATTGAAGAAACCTCAGGGATAGCAACAGAGGAGAGATACCTCTTCCAGCAAGGACAGCCATGCAAAAGATGTCATGTGTTCTGATTAAAGCAGCATAATAGATTTACAGTATGGATGATAAAAATAACAAAAAAGAACACTGTATAATCATAAATGAGGATTGTGATCCTGGAGGACGAGCCAGCTTCACTAGACCCGAGCCACACGATCTCCCCTCCAGACAAAGAGCTGAGAGGAGGACAGACTACACAACCACACAGGAGGGAAAACCCAAACACATCACTGACACATAGGGGAAAGAAAACGAACACACATTAAAAAAGAAATAATGGACTGAAGAAATGAACAGAAAGTGAACAAAAGTAGTGGGAGATGGACAAATAAGAGGACAGGACTCCTGAAGGACAAGGATTCAGATCCAGACATCTGCACAGATACCGGCAGCCAGAGGAGAGAGAGGTCCCAGGATGACTGATGGTTCAGCACAGAGAACCTTCCTGACAGAGACAGAGAGAGAGAGAGAGAGAGAGAGTCTGGATGCTCATGTGCTTAAGGGAACAAACAAACAGGGTCAGGGATGAAGTGCTTTTAGACATTTTGCAATAATCTTGTTGGCAGGATAACATGAACTACACTGTACATAACTAGATTTAATGGATACACTGAAACCACCCAGTGGGAGAATAGTAGCAAATATGTAAGGCAAGAAATAATCAAGACCACACCACTAGTTGAACGTTATGATGTACAGATGAGTTTTAAGTTTTGATTTAAATGCCACAACTGAGTCAGACTGTCTCCAGGTGTGAATTAGTTTTTGGCATCATTTCTCTTTCCTGTCTAACATTTTCAGCTCCTGCGTGTCTGCTATTCATCATTATCAAGCGCTCTTTCCAAAGATTTTTCCCTCTTTTTTCCTTTAGTCTCTATCCATCATCCGTCCTAATATTCCCTCTCATTGATCTTCTCATTACTGGTCAGATATGTTTTTTTCCTTTCTCCTGGCACAGTTTATCTCAGCAAAGACTCTCAGCGTTTGTTATATCAGAGTAAACCTGCATCCAGATGTATACTTTTCTCTCTAGTACGTATCTATTACAAAATATGCAACAATTAAAGTTCAAGTTGAAGAGGGGCATCTTAAGGTGTTATTTGTTAGGAGTTTAATGCTCAGAAACATGGGTCATCTTCACGGGGACTGTGTGGGTGTGTGAACTTACTAAAACTGTAGTAACAAAAATGTGTGTTCATGTGCTAAAGCTCATATTACATTAACCAGCTGATTGAAAAGAATAGGTTTTCAGGGCCTTTAAAAGCCACAAGCTAAAGATGATTCATTGTGTCAGACTGAAGTCTAAGCTTTTTTTGATTTCCCCACTTTTCTATAACATGTTACTTCAGGTGTAAATTAGACCATACCAGCATTTTCAGTAGTTTGTGTTTATATTTCTATGCCTCTGCACAAGAGAGAGCTACGACAGGAGGCATTATGTTCTCGGGTTGTTCATCCGTCATTCCCATTCTTGTGAACGCAATATGTCAAGAACACCTTGAGGTAATTTCTTCACATTTGGCACAAGTGTCCACTTGGACTCAAGGATGGATTGAATAGATTTTGGTCATCAGAAGTCAAAGGTCAAGGTCACTGTGACCTCGTGTTCATCCCATTCTTATGAAAATGATATGTCAGGAACGTCTTGAAAGAATTTCTTCACACTTGGCAAACATCCACTTAGATTCAAAAATAAACTGATTAGATTTTGATGATCAAAGGTTAAGGTCAGTGACCTCATGTCTGACTTGTTGGTGGAGGCATACAACTGTGAAGTAGTAGTTCTATTTGACTGCCGGCCAAGTCAGGTGACAAATTAATAGGAAAGGCCAAAATAAAGTGCTTTAGTAAGACGATGGACCACTGCTGATTTTATGAAAAGCTTCACTGTTCCTTGGCATTGATCATACAAAAGCTCTCAGCTCCACTGGACTTCAGGAAGAACCCCACCCCCACACTATACTCAGCAGCACTGTATCAGCAGTAGAGTCCTTCAAGTTGCTGGG